GCAAGCACTCAACGACGGACGTCACTATAACGGCACTTTCCGATGGACTTGTCGCAGCACGCTCACTTGACAGCCTGAGACAAACGCAGAGACACTTGATGATGAGTGTGATACAGGAGTAATGATCTGTAACTTACAACGAGAGCAAGTGGATTCTTTTTATCACAATATATGTGAAGATATGACAAATATATTCAAAATCACATCCAACTGAATTTAAATCACTGCTCAGTGCAATGAATCAGGAAAAGGTGTTTTAATCTGTAAAGTAAGATTTCAAATTACAATGTCCTTTGATTATAGTTACAAATTTGCATAGAATCAGATTTGGCCAACAGGATTTTCTGATCACACAAAATGAGCTGATTTTCACAATATTGTTTCCTTAATATTTGATAAATAATAGCAATATTGAATAATCATCTGGTCCAAGCGTATAATATAGTGCCTTGAAAAAGTATCCCCCCCCCCCCTTGTTTTTTCTTATCATTTTGTTGCATTATAACCAGGCATTTGAATGGATTGCATGGAATGTGCCCCAAAACAATGGAGACGTAAAATAAAAAAAGATTTTGAAACCTAAAGAGTGGTGACTATGTGTTCACCCCCTTTGCTAAAAACAATCCCCTAAATAGGATCTGGTGCCACCAATTGCCTTTGAAAGTCACACAATTAGTGCAGTGTGTGCAATCTTAGTGTCATATGATCTGTCACATGACCTCAGTCTCTTTACACCCGTTCTGAAAGGCTGGAGTCTACACCTCTAAGCAACATGAAGACCAAGGAGCTCTCTAGACAGGTCAGGGACAAGGTTCTGGAGAAGAAGACAGGATTGGGATATAAAAAACTACTGCTTACAGGTAGATTGTATTTAACTAATCATGTGACTTCTGAAGGTAATTGAAGGGTGAATACATGGGCACGCACAATAGAACTCCACTTAAATTCCAGGTTATAATGCAACAACGTAGGAAAAACACCAGGAGGGTGAATACTTTACATTGTACCAACACACACAAAAACTAATTACCCTTGTATGAGGGAAGAGAAGAAGGTGGTGTGGAAGTCCACGGTCGGATCGGTGACCTGCTGGGGCAGTTTGCTGAGGAGGGGCATTAGATTAGGGTGGAGTGCTTTAGCCATGCCTTTGCCCCCCTCTTTCAGTAGAGCCCAAAGTTTAGGTAAGAAGCCCTTCTTGGCGTTCACATGTGTCCAGCAATCCTGTAGCAGGAGCAGGAAAAGCAGAGATCAGATACAACATTTTCAGAACACCTGACAATACAATGGCAGTAGCATGACTGCACACGCGAGGTCATTCCTTTGAATGCGACCTTACCGGGATCGTAGAGACGACGTGAAGAACAGCCTCCCACACTGGAGGCAGCACTACGGGATCCGTGTCGTCAATGCTGAGCAGAATAGCGGGGCAGAGTCGGGCTGCTTCAGCCTGGACCAGTCCTGGAGTAAACTCACACAGAGCACACAGCATCTCGAAAAATGCCCCTCGCACCTGTGGAGAAACATAGTAGTAGTATTTAATAATTCAAAACACATTATTGCATGTATTTTAGGTGGCATTTGGCAGGACAAACTGATGGAATTTAACATTTTAAATGAAACATCTACAGCCAGATGTTACTGCCTCTACGCCATTTAAAATCCCTTTAAATGCATCCAGAGAGACCAGCTCACAAAGATTCAGGTAGCATGAGGTATTTTTGGGGATATCACATATTATCCCTTACAATCTTTGCAAAACTACAACTGTTCATCAAAATGAAAACATATACCAAGTGTTTAGGAGTCCCACTCAATGCCAGTACCTGTGGTGTCTTGTGTTTGCTGTACTTCCAGAACTTCCCAGAGTTAAGAAGATGTGCCAGTCTTTCCTCCAGGGCCGTCCTGTCACTCTGGAGCAGCAGGGAGAGCAGCCTCTTCACCCCCAACAGAGAACTGGTCAGCATGCGCACATATTTGCCTTCTCTCTCCTCCTCCGTCACACTTCTGGAGAACAAGGGGAACCAGTTTCCTCAGCAAAAGGATCTGACCGAATGTAACATTGTTGTGCCTACAGAGTTAGAATAACGGACACAGAGACTTGAACTTACTGTGGATCACTCAGTGTGTCTGCCGTTTCCTTTAACAAAGTATCTTGAAGTACCTGCAATTATAAGAACAATTTACTGTTTTCAGTTCAGTAGATAACAAACTCCCTTGTCCGCACTAAGGCCACCACTACTACTCACACTGAGGATATCGTCCTGGCAGAAGCCGAGAGCCTCCGGCTGTTTGGTGGGAGAGAAAGCAGCATGGAAGGCCTGGCATGCGGCGGAAGCTGCCGGTGTGTAAGTGTCACACTGGGACAGAATCCAGTGGCCCATCAAGCTCTTCAGAAAGGGGGCCAAGCTGCGACGCACTTTCAGCACCAGCTGCTCAAAGGCCTGCTGGGTGGCCTCCCTGATCCGGCGATCGTGGTCCTGATGAGACAATATTGATGGAGACAAAAGTTACAAAAGTCGATGTAGACAAGCGTCAAACACTTGAGCACATGAAGTCGTGTGGTGAATGACCAGCTCACCACGGATATCTTGCAGTAAATCCTTGGCCAGTATGGCAGGACCCCTTTCACCTCTTCAGCGTCCCGCTCCTGACACATGGACCCAAAGTCCTGCACCGCCTGAGAGGAGAACCCAACATCAAGACCAACACCGGGACCAAAAGACACCCCAGGGAGGCTTCAACAACACCCAATGGGAGATTGTTTTTCATGATATTTCAAGTGGTTGGTTGTAGCTACCTGTGTTATATTACATGTGTGTGTTATCTGTGATTGGAAGACCATATAGTTTAAACTTACCTTCAGTCTGGTAACAACATCCCTCTTCGAGAGTTTCCTGAGCACCAGGCGGAAATCTGCGTCCACCAGGTTGTCTATCTCCTCCGCGCCGTGGATAGCGGGGACATAACTCAGCTCGGAGGTGACCGACGTGTCGAAGCCCACGAACCCCGGGATGACACCACCCTCCCGGGTCAGCACCGCAGCAGCTCGGCCGCTGCTGGACGGCTAGTAGCGGGAGAGAAGCGTTAGCCAGGCAGACACGTTGTGGTTATGAAACAGGTGGGACACTGCGCCGTTAGCTACGTTAACGTACAGACATCAGTACTTACCCGAACATTTCCTTTAGTTCGCTGTTTATTCTTACCCCCCATGGATTCGCATTAATCTTAAAAGTAATCAGTTTGTATCCTTTTAAATGACTCAGAGTGGAGCCACTGCTCGGGATAAGTATGACGGAACTGAGGACTTCCTCTCTCTTCTTCTTCATTTGGGGTTTTTACGGCAGCCGGCATCCGTTCTGTTGCATTACTGCCTCCTTCTGGATCTAGACCATTACTGCGCCATCTGCATATTAGGTCCTTTTTTATTCAACCAGTGTCTCTCAAGAAGTTAATAAACAGCTACATTATACTTCTGTACTAAAATATTCCTTACTGATATTTCTGTTAGTCCAATTTTCCTCATTTCAGTTACCATCACTTCTCCTCCATGACATAATTACATGCTGCACTGTCTCCGTCTGGTGTCACTGCTCGCATAACCCTGTTGAATGCTTTCCCAAGTTATTTTTAGGCTGTGTGAATCTGTTGACTAATACCTGTTTGTGTTTTATCTTGTAGCTCAGCTGATTTTGGATCGATGGATATGGGAGAAGGAAGGTCGAGGACCCATGAGAGACAATATAGGCCTAGCAACTTTGAAAAATGAATCATACTACACAAAGGACCTGTGGTAATGTGCCGGGTGCTGGTAGGTAGAGGAGCAGTGATGTAAGAAGCTAAACTAGTGATGAAAACACTATTTATGATCACAGCTAATGACGTTCCATAAATTTAAGTTGGGGGAACAAAGACCACAACGTATCTCCCAAGGCAATTTCCTGTCCAGGCCTATGCAGGTGTGTCTAACCCTTTCTCCGTCTCTTCTCTCTCTTTCAGGACCAGAACCACAGGAGTATGGAGACAACACCAGCACCCTCACCCTGAGTCTCAACTCCCTGGGTTTTGCAAGCCTTTCCCTGGTACTTTAAAAAAAAAAGAAATAAACCCATTATTAATCATCCAATGGTGGTGTGCTATTTGTTTGTGAAAAATTGCAAATGCAGTGTTTTAACACAATTACCTTGCCTATTGTGATATCAACTTCACTCCGGAATGCTATTTATTTAATTGTCATTTTAGATTTGTTTCCAGTGAGATATTAATTACTTTATAGTGACTTTGCTGTTTGTTGTTGCAAACATTACTGTTGCTGCTCTAGAAGCAATATTTAGTTATATCTAAATGATTCAAACCTGTTCTGAATTATTTGTTTTTTAAATTCTACATATTGATAAGAGTAGCTCCCAGCAGTAATACATTCCTAAAGATATATTCCTACCTGCAGAACGGAGGATTCTGTTGTTGCTTGTAAATTGCATCCTCACCACTAGATGCCACTAAATCTCACACAAGTTCCTTTAAGCAAAGGAACTTGAGACGTCAACAAGGCAGGGAACTCGAGCTGTACACTTACTAATCCTCAAATATTAGCACTTTTTACTTAAAAAAACAAACACGGAATTGATGAAACTGAATACATACGTTGTTGCTCACTATGAATACTGTCAATGAATTGATTTACTGACTATGTGGCACTAGAGGAAAGTAGGTGTCTATAGAAATATTGGGATGTTACCTCTTTTGACCTTACACAGAACATTTAATATGACATATTGTATTGGCAAGGGGGAATTTTGTGAGGGTGGGCAGCTGAAAGGTTTAGGTTTCCAAAATCACAAGGAATCATATTGTGGAACCCGCGAAAGGTTAGTAGTCAACATCTTGTGCTGCTCTGGAAATGTTCGATTTTAGACTTGGATGATCTTCTAGCACAACAAATATAACAAACATTAAAATGATATGAGAACAAACTCAGCACATAAAACTAACAACTCGTGCACTTGGATTGAAAAATATTTTAATATACACTCTTTTTGCATCAATCAAAAACATTTGCTGAGATTTGTAATATAACTGTAACCATAGATTTAGTTAACATGTTAACTATTATTTAAACACCGCTACTTTAGTCTAAACATGAATTGTGCACTTTTTACAATTATAGCTTCTGTTGTGAAGGTCAGCTGTGTCTAAAGCTGGAATAGAATTCAAAATAAGAAGTTCACAATCTGGCAGTTCAAACTACCAGGCATTTTTAATTTTAAAAAAATAAAAAATTGTCTAATCAACCAAAAATTTCACAGACCCCCTGTTGAAGACCTCTGCCATAGGTAATACATCATGAAACAGTGCATTCAAGTGTGATTGTGGTGATTATATTTTCTTCTCACGAACCGTCCACAGGGAGGAAGTATAGCTACTTTACGTCTGACTCCAATCTTTCAATCCTCCGTTTTAGTTGAGGAAATTTGGGATTTCCACTGAGTGTGTCTGTTGCACACACTAGGGGAAGACGATATCTGTAAATAGCAGCTGTGTCTCTTATTTATATATTTATTTATATAACTATCCCGCCATCACAACTCACCAGGAAATTATCCATGCTGCTGCTGACCGTGTCCTAGAGTCAGTAATGATCCCGTCATGTTCCCCGTCTGAACTAGAGGGAGGGATCAGCTCCGCAGTGCTTCATGTCACTCAGACCCGTACAAAGCAGCTTTCAAATTACAAGTGTTGCAAGCAAAAAACCTCAGAGTTCAATTTTGATACCATATATTTAAATATGTTTACATGAACATGGGTTGTAATCAAAATAATGTCTCAAATGAGTTAGTTTGCAGTTAAAAGCAGACCATCAGTAAAAATTAAAACATATGCACAAAATTTGTAAAAATGGCACCATCAACCTCTCCCAGAGCCGTACAGCTTAATTAATATATGACTGTTTTGCATTTTATCTTTTTAATAAACTTGTACATATAAATGTAACTGTTAATGCAGGTTTTAAAGTAATCAGATCAGTGCTTTGCAGCATGTGTTGTAAACACATTCTGATTTCCTGCCTTAACATGATTTCACTATCTTGTAAATGAATAGTCGGTGTGATTTACAAATGTTTATTGAGCTGTATTTACACCCAATTTATGTGTCTTCAAGGTGAAATTTGTATTTATCACTTAATTAGTCTTGTAAACTGACAAATTACCAAACCATTTTGTTCATGCTTCACCATCTTCTCCACAAAAGTAATATTCACCATTGTTCTTGCTGCTTCCTTAACCACATGATCTATAGAGGTGACTTGTTTGATTGCAATCATTATTGTCAAGTGTAGTTAGAACTTGCATTTATAAAAAAAAAAAAAAAAAAAAAATCTATTTGAGTAACTTGTTAAAAATGGTGAATTTCTACCCCTGTGTTCCACATCATAGATCACAATCTGAATGCATCTCCCATTGTTTACTACAGAATAAAATATTTGACCAGGCTACAGAATTACATTTATCATCACTTACACCAGTTGAAACCGTATTCAGAAATGATCGAGTAGTGAGCCCAAACTCTTTCTCCTGTTAAATCACAGTCGGTATCACGGTTCCTGATTGAAAAAGATGAGCGACTTGTTAGAGCAACCATCCAAATCACAGTATACGGTGATCTACCGTACTACTACCATCCACATCTTACAGAAGAGGTAACGTCACCCTGACTTAATATAATATAATGAATAATAAATACTTCTATATGCATTTCATTCATTTCACCAGCTACCTGTTTTCATAAAAGCCCAGTTGTGTAGCACCACATGTGAAACTCATGGTGCCCTGCTTAGGCTTATCATCCTCCAAAGCATTATCCCATCTCACAACGCCACATCGTCTGAGCTGTAATACCACCTTCAGAAGAAATCCTTAAGTTCCTCAGAGATAACGTACACTCTTTCCATTCCCTGTTGCGGGACACCCTGAAAGGCCCTCCCACAGCCCGGTCCCAACTCAACCGAGCTGGATGTCGGCTCCTGGGGGAAGCACCGTGGTGTAACGAGGGTCCAGTTTGGGAGCAAAGCCTTTAAAGTCCCGGGAGGCTTGAGTCCCAAACACATCTAGCAACTGTCGGTTCATCAGAGCAAATCTAGGAGCGGAAAACGGAAAAGGATCTCTGTAATGTTGTGAAAAATACCGTAACATGATAAAAACAGTTGGACTATTGAATTTTTTCACTTTGATATAATCCTCCTCAGTGGTTATTTGCATAAAAAGACACTATTGAAACAATTAAGAAATAAAAGCTTAGTGAGCAGCATAGCAAGCGCCAAGGAAATTATTACTTCCAGTGGACAACAATCAACGTTAAAGGTGGAGAATTGCCCCTTTACAATGACAGTTTTGACAGCACCCACAGCAGGTTTCGTACCTGCCCTTCGTTAAACGATGCAGGAACTTCCAGTACGAAGGCCGGAGGTTCTGCACTTCCATCACAGCCTGTGTAACAGGAACGAGTCATACATTATATCCTTAACTCAGCATATTTTTGTGAGTAGGTATGCATGTTTGTATACGTGCTACTTACAGCCTGGAAACAGATGGCAGTGGAGATGGCATACAGGACTGTGTCCGCATGAGGGAAGTAAGGGAAGCGTCCCGCCTCAATGCCTTTGAAGTACATGGTCTAAAGACAGAGATTAGTACATGTGCTGTTAATGAACACAGACGCACGTCAGATAAGCAGACACGTTCAGTAGCGCGTTACTAACATGCAAGTCTATCTTCTGTTATAGTTGTTCTGGCAACAAGCTAACTTAGGAACTACTACAATGTCTATAGCATTTCTATGGTTCTGTATGCATGCTTGTACACACCAGGGACTGTGTCTGGATGTGGATGAAAATTAGGTATTCATCAGTGAACCCCGACATTAATATTTAACAAAATAATGCACGTTAATGTGTTATTTGAAAGGTGTCTCCTACTTTTTAATGATATTCAGTAAATATGGTTTTGCTATCCTTGAGATTAAAGTCGGTGTGTAGATCTTTCCGACAAAGTCATTTTCTGTTTTTACTGTTGGAAGTGTTTCTGAGATGTTCTTTTTACCTCCACCAGCTTAGAGAAGAGATACATGGATATTGACGTGCTTTTGTAGAAGAACATGGACATACCAGCCAGGAAGCCTTTAAGGACAGAAAGAGACAATCGACAAACAGATTACAGGCATGAACGTTACTACAGGGCTAGCCAAAGTCTGGAAACAAATGTGACATGCTTTACATCATATAACCATGTGACAAAGGCCTGTGCTATATGCTTGAACAAATAGTAATTCCACTATAGTTTGGCGTAGCCAGCCAGCGGGGGGTGGGAGGGGGGGGGGGTATTTGTGAACACTTGTGGCCTGCAAAAGCCTTCATTTTGTGGCCTCTGGTATATTCTAAACTGTGTTTTAGAATATGATCAGTGTTTATGAATTCTAAATTCATAAACACTGATCTTAATTATTGCATATTTCCCGATAGTTAACCTGTAGTGAATTATTGTAAAGGATTAGGCTTCTAGTGCGTTTTAGCCCACCGTCTTTAAAAAGCTATTCATCTTTAAAACAATGCATATTCCTGATTGATCAGAACTTCTGTAATTATTCAATCTTACTTATTATTTTATAATTATTCATTGACACCTTCACTGTAAGGTTTATCAAGACATGCCACATTGATGGTTAATGTAATGTTCTACGAGAAAGTTAAATGCACTCTTATTCAACAGAAATAAACAATGTTATATTAAGAGGGGGACATGTTTTTATGCCATAGATTATCTTATTTATTGGTTTTAAATTCAATTGTCGAAATTGCTGCCACCGCTGTTTCACAATGTAGACCATCAATGCATCTCTGAATATATTTTATCATTGATTAATTTGTTAATATCTGTCAAACACTGAAGACAAGTCTCTGGTCTCTACTCGGCAGGACACAACCTCTCAGCTGAACGCACACACACACATTCAAATTCATATAGAGCATGTGGGGGGCGGGACTGAGACAGACAGACAGAGAGAGGCAGACAGACAGCACTTTTAGCTACCATTATGCTTGCATCATCAAGCAGAAGCAAGCGGTCCTAAAACGTACACGCTCAGCAAATCGCAATTTGTTAACCCTTGCCCCCCCCTGAGCGAGTTGTACATCCCTAAGGTTAGAGCAGCTGACACATGACCCGACATCAGCTGAGACAATCCGGAGAATTGCTCCACATGAACTTTGTTTGACAGTTTACACAATATCGTCTCACCAGCAATCAGTGCATGGAGTTCATCGTCAATGTTGCGCAGCCAGCGCAGCAAGCAGCTTGTTCCCTGAGCATAGTTAAAAAGAAATTCACAAGATAACACAAGAGATACTGAAATGGGAAAAATATGGGAAATAGTTAACATAATACCAAAAAGACGCAATTTTAGAAATAACAGCATGTACCTTATAGATACTGACGAACGATCCTAGAAAGGCCCCGAGCTGGAAGTTCTCCTTGTTGTAGAAGAGGGCCGGGAGCCGGGAGGGTTTGGTGAACACGTGCCTGAACGCTGAAGGCACTTTGAGACAACACTGAATCAGGTAGCCAATACTGAACATCCGGACAAATCCCTGGACAATGAGAGAAAATAAAGAAATATTTAATAAAAGAAGAAAGAAATATGAGTGTTAATATCCATCATAACAAAAGTGTCTTACTTTCACACAGTAGGAAATGCAGTTGTCTTGGTAATGTTTACAACATCTGTGTCTTGGACCCTTTTTGCATCTGAAAAAAATAAATAAAAAGGTCAATATTAGGCACTCTGTACAGATCTTTGTGTCAGTGTAAAGGAGTGCATCCTCTCACATTGATTGTAGCAGTTCCCTGATGCGGGCTACCAGAGTTCTGCTCCTGGGTGGCCTTTCTCCTGAGGCCTGGGGATCCTCCGTCCTCTCAAGGGGCCTCGAGCTGATCTGTTCTGCCCCAACGGAGTGAGTTGGAATCTCTTCTTTCCCGATGATGAACCTGTGACAGAAAAAGCACACCACCTACGTAAGCTTTACCAAAAACACCACCAGTCGATCTAAAGCGAGGCATCGGTGGGAGAAGGGACGACTTACTTTAACGCAGAGAATGCAAAGCCTTTGAGACCGTCTTTACTCCTGCAGCATAAAACACAACATTTAACTCAAACTCTAACGTTCACTCAAATACATTTTTCATTTTTGACCAACGTTGCAGATTTTACTGGAGGAATCTGTCCGCTGTGCTGCTCTGACCTGAAGAAGAACATGTAGAGCGACGCTGTTATGCAGAACAAGAGCACCTAATGGAAGACAGAAAAAAAGGGCATCAGCTGAAAAATAGGCATCTGGCCACATCTGTAATGAAAGTCATACGATATAATGATTTAATCGTCATGGGACACAAACTATTATCAAGTTTATTTATGCACATATGACAACTTTTGCTGAGTTACTTCATATTCTTTACTGACACATGAGATTGGCAATATGTGAAAGAAAACAGAAAACACACCATCAGGGTGTAACGCCCTTAGCAGCAGAACTTTTATATTATTTGGGCCCCCGAGCCCCGTTATTTAGCTCCCTCCCTTCACTCCCTTCACACCCACACCTCCCTGTCATCTCACCTCGCCGTGTCTGATGGGTCTGACGATGCCTCGTGTCACTGCCATGCGGAACAAAGTCTCAGTGGCCTGACAAGAGGACACAGTCACAAATACATTGTGTGAAAAAAAAGAAGCTTATACATCTCTTTAAGTATATCAAATAATGCTTAAATGAACAAAGTAGCTCTTACAATATTTGTCATGTATATTGTCAGCATCCCTCTCCTGACAAACGAAAGAAAGATACAGATATATTATCAATAAACACAGAACCTGATGCTTTAGATGCTTCCAACAACTTAATTAGGTCCCAAAAAATAAGTGCCACGTGTGTGTAGTGCTGTTACTTGGCGAATGTGTCCCTAATTCTAAACATGGAAAGACGTTCAGAGAGAAGGAGAACCAAGAAAAATCAAGTGAGAATAAACAAAGAACTGGAATGTCACCTGCTCTTGCGCTCCAGGAGGATGGCAATATAGGAGGCAGGCAGTGCCGAGCCAAACCCCGCAGACCAGGAGTGGAACCCTCCCAACAGTTTCCTGAAGTTAATAAATAAACAGTGTCATTTATTGTTTTTCAACTGGAAAGTGGACTCGAGCACAGTCAGCACAGACTTTCTTTAAAGAAGCAATGTTTGGGTAGACATTTTGAAACATGTGCAGCACTTTTGAGCTTAATATGCACCAGGTGTTGAGGCGAGTAACAATGAACATGCATTTATAAGACTTGTGTTTGTTTTGATCAACTGCAATGCCTGACATTCCTCTCTGGAGATCAACAAAGGCTTATCTTATCTCATCTTTCCAAGAAAAAAAAATGCAATAGGGCACATTCAAGCAACTCAGCAGACCCTGAGATAATAATTCATTAACATCCAAACACTGATAATATGAGCCTGTGTGTATTGTATGTGTTGAAAGTAACGTTACTAACCTGAGAAGGCAAAAGAAAACAATGTAGAGGCCTCCATTGGCAGTGAGGAAGGAGGTAGACCACAAGATCTCCGGGAGAAGCCTTTTAAGATAGTAATCCTTCTTCCTTCTTCTCAGAACTGCTGCTATCTGCAATAACGTCACATGGTTGCCAAATCATTTCATGACAGTTGAGAAAACTTAAGGAATGTTGTGCAATTGTATTAAACTCTCCAGCTGGAGCTATAATAATAATAATAATAATAATAATAATGGTTGGCTGTGCGGTATTAAGGAATGCTTCCAGTGCGTCAAAAACTGGTTGAACTGATCAGATCCTGTTTACGGTTGACTAACGTTTACGTATCATTAGCCACTCACTCGTGATTCTGTCATGCAGTTTGTATTCATAGGGCAAGGGTAAAGTACCGCATGCAATGTTTTATTACCTGCACGAGCAATACATTCAAATGTTGTCCCCTAATGAAAACTAGCGACGTGTCAGCTAATCTTTACGACGTTACCTCAGAAGTAACGATAGTTAGCCTAACTTGGTTAGCTAGTTAGCTAACTTTAGCTTCAGAGTCTCACCTAAAACTGTCACAAGTTCAAATATCACAGGTCAAACGGCCACATTTACCAGGTAGAGAGGAGCGTATATTTTGAAGGAGACCTCCAGAGCACCCCTGGCGACGTCCACAGCAGACTGCACACACGACGGGTCCCAGGTATGACCGATCTCGTAGCAGCTGTGTGGTATTTTGCTGAGGGCGGCCATGTCTGTACCACTACTGACCGTGCTGGCGCTGCACAACGACCAACAGCAGACGCGCGTTCACTGGAACGGGAGCGCAGGCACGTAAACGAGCTGTGCACGTGCACGGCGCTGCCGGGACCATATTCTACTGATCTACGAATAGTTTCACATCCTATGGCTGCATTATGAATCAATGGTTTATTGAACATTAGTGAAGTAAAACCCTTCAGATGTTCTTGATTCTTTATTATATTTATTTATTAAAAACATTACTATTACATACATTTACTTAATCACCTAATCTTCAATATCATATAATAAATTATGAATGAATGGAAAAAGGCCATACCGTTTATTACCACTAATTCTTAAATGCATTCAATTGATAAACATTCACATAGAAATTTGATTAATCCTTCAAAATATTTTCTGAGTTCTCAAAATGTAAGATTATAAAACATGCAGGTCCATTCAAAACCAGAATCAGTAGTATGAAGGAGGTGGGTAGTGTGAAAATGTGTAAGACGTTTGTTCTTTGCTGCAAATCTACAAAGAGGTTCAATGCCCCACCTGCTCACCGTGGTAGCGCTGCAGATTAATACGTAAATCTATCTAAATCTTCAACTAAATCTGGAATCAGATTAGGCTTAATCTGACACAAGATGTTAACCATCGCTGAAAAGAAAAAGAAGTGTAGGTCCTGTTCGAAGGAAGGCAATGTAGCCTAAACACTAGCATGATTTTGCCAGTGTTTGGTGGTTGGCAGTGGAGATATGCCACACTAAAATGTGAATACTTTGTCTCTCTTGTTAGACTGTAACATAATGTAACAGCACAAACATTACAGAGCCACAAACAAACTTGAGAAAGGCATATCAGTTGAGATGCAAATCATAACTCTAATGAAACGTACAGCCTGGAGAAGATCAAAATCAGACAGTAGGCACCAAATTAAAGCGCTGGGCTGGGGCCTGACAATAAATGAAAGCACAAGTGATTATGTGGAACAATGTGTTCTTTCGATGGGCTTTCAGGGGGAACAATGGTGCTATAAGACAAAAGGAAACACAATCAAGTCCTGTGCCGAAGCTGACCCTGGTAACACACGAGAACCACCCAATACACTTGTTTTCATATCATTATGTGCTTGAGTGGCAAATTGTATTTAAGAGATTTGTGGAGATTATCATAAATAAGAAGCTCAAGGACCACAATCATACAAATGAGGGTAACAAGAGCAGGGTGATCAGAATATGCATATGTGTTTTGTGTAATATCAACATATCCTGCATGCTTTGCAGAGGCAGAGCCATAGCTTCACCCACCTTGGTCTCGACAGTTGTACAGCTCACAGCTGGTCAGTAGGTGTCAGCCTCTCCACTTTGATGCAGAGAACGACACAAAGCTTCAGGCTGAAAGAAGGATGTAGCTGCTGAGCTGGGTTGAGAGCATGATCTGGATCAAATTCAGCCCAATTAGGATTATCTTCAGACAAGATTACCATTTATAAAGGTTTTGTAAACTGTACGGATTACAGTGTTCATAGTCAATAAATCGTCTCATTATATTAAAGATCAGTTATAAGAGAACAGCTTTGTCCTCTGAGAGCTGCTTTATCCTCCAACAGGACACTTTCTGTCAGAAACTGTAAAGAATCTGGACAAAAATTAATTTATTAATTTGCTTGTTGACTTCAGTGTAAAACCTACAGTTTAAAAATATATATATATGTAGTATCAACATTAATAGCAGCAATGTCACCAAATAGCCTACAGAATATAAACACCAGCCAGAGAGATTTTTCACAACCTGGAAACCAAAGTTGTTCTTATTGAGCTATAATCCATTACTAAATGGCGTATTAACCATGAAGCCACTAAGTGGTGACTAAGGTGTCTTATCAGAAAGTGGACAAAATGTTGATTTAAGACTCCACCTGGCCTCAATGACTACTGACTAGTTGCCCTCACATCTCATGTGAAGAAGGTGCTGGAGAGGCTTGGCCCACCTCCCACCGCAGGTGAAATCCTCACTGGACCCTCTGCAATTTGCATGCCAGCCTCATGTGGGAGCGGACGACACCATCATACCTGCTGCAAGGAGCTCAGTCGCACCTGGATGGAACCGGAGGGAACTGTTCTGTCTCCCTTCCTGTTCACCTTGTACACCACTGACTTCCAGTACAACTCGGGGTCATGCCATCTGCAGAAGTTCTCTGATGACTCTGCAGTGGTCGGGTGTATAAGGGATGGACGGGAGGAGGAGTACAGGGCAGTAGTGGATGACTTTGTAGAGTGGTCTGGTAGAAACCACCAGGTCTGGCCTGCTTCTGAACGTGGCCAAGACCAGAGAGATGGTGGTCGACTTCAGGAGGAAGACGATGACTCCACAACCGCTGAGAGTTCAGGGAGAGGACGTGGACACGGTGGAGGAGTACAAGTCCCTGGGTGTCTCCATCGACAACAGACTGAACTGGAAGACCATGGTCTTCCAGTTCAACATCTGCAACATCAACGCTGTGTACAAGAAGGGGATGAGTCGACTCTTTTTCTTGAGGAAACTTCGATCCTTCAATGTGTGCAGCAAGATGTTGGAGATGTTCTATCAGTCTGTTGTGGCCAGTGCACTTTACTTCTCCGTAGTCTGCTGGGGGAGCAGCATTGGAGCCGGAGACACCAACAGACTTAATAAACTGATTAAGAAGGCCGGCTCCATCATTGGCTGCAAACTGGAGACTGGAAAAGGTGGTGGAGAGGAGGACACTGAAGAAATTATTGTCCATATTGGATAACCCGGACCACCCTCTCCACCACCTAGGGACAGCAGAGCACTTTCTCCAACAGACTCATCCAGCTTTGCTGTCACAAGGACAGATACAGGAGAACATTCCTGCCCACTGCAATAAGACTGTACAATAAATCACTTCCGGCCGAATCAATCACAAGACTATAACCCATTACACTGTTGTTTGTTTGTTGTTTGGTTAAATCTTTGCACTACTGTTTAGTTAGTTAATTTAATATTATTCTATTTCATTGTATATATTGTGCATTTTTTATATTTAATATTTTTACTCTGTTATTTTTATTGTATATATTGTGCATTTTTATACTCAATATTTTTTTATTTTTTTTACTCTGTCACTTTGATTGCTTACCTGTATCATAATGCTGCTGTAGCGAACAAATTTCCCCTTGCGGGATTAATAAAGTATCTATCTATCTATCTAAATAATTTTTTAATTTTTTTAATTAAAAAATTTGATTTTCAGACAGCTGACTAACGTTCATCACCTCTGGAAAGTTGACAGCCAATTAAGACGCCCCATGGTGCCTGAGTCTGCATTTTAGCATAAGTGGATCAATTACCTTAATTTCCCGGTAGGCAATTTCAAGAACATTTTATAACAATTACCGCGAGAACACTGAGTGTTTATTGTCGCTGTACTCTGATATCACAGGAGGCGGTAACTCCGTGGTCGCTCTCTGGCTGAATAGGCCAACTGTTTTCCTTTGCAGAGTTTCATAAGTGCTGCAGCCCCAAAGCACACAGCCAATACGCGCTTGCATGGAAGAGTCAACGGAGGTTTCCACTTGCTCCTCTTGAACCAAAATCCGCTCAACATTAAGCCGTGCTTTAAACGGAGCTATCAGCCGGACATGGCGCGGACTTTGGGGCTGATTGCGAATTGTTTGATGTTCCTTCTCTCCTCCGGTGCGGAAGGGAGGCGCAGCAGGGAGAGAGTCTACTATGTGGGGATCATTGAGGACTATTGGGATTACGCACCAAGTGGAAAAAACCTGCTTAACGGACAAGACGTCGAAAATGACGAGTGAGTTGTGATGCAGACAAGTTATTTTGAGAGAGAAAAAAACATGTAGGTTACAGATTGTGGGTGCACTTAAATGTCATCGCAGATCATTCATATCAAATACACACACATGGGGTGTTGCGTTTATCTAAGGCGATTATAATATACTTTGTAAAAGAAAACAGAAGCAACCCAAACTAAGATTGCAAAAAAGTCCTATGTCATCTTGTCAGGGTGTGACAGTGTCTAGACATTAGAAGGCAAAGTTGTGTGCTTTGCTGGTAGTCTGGCAGATGTACAGGAAAGATGATAGTCACTCAAGTACTAACAGTGTGTGACTTCTTTCATGAGGTTGGAGGCTTCCTTTGCTAAGTGTAATAATGACCAAAATAAGTCAGGAAACAAGGATAGCTGCCTCTCATAGAGAGAAAATTGCATCACACCACCACTACTGTTATTTTACATAGATGTAAAGGTTACTGTGCTTTAAGAATAAACAGAAAGCAGGTGCAGTAAGAATGTTCAAGTGTTCAAGTTTTCTGAATGCTTCCCAATTAATGTATTTTGCAGCTGCGTTTTAGATTGATAGTCAAGCTTATAAATAGCTGACAGGTATCTGAGTCAATCTCTTCTTCTAAGATAGCTAAATACCTGACAGACATGTGAGTTGATCTCTTATGGGTAGACAGTTTAATAACTTTGAAGCATAGTACAACTGTCGCTTGCACAATGCTGGAATCTCCCGACTTATATCAGCCAGCCAATTTACCCAACAGTCATTTACAATGTCAAATACACACAAGTGCAGAAGAATCATTGGTTGTACTCAAACCAAACTATTTTAGCAGATATTGATCAATATTTCTTATCTTCTCCAGATATCATATTGTCTATTTGTACCTCCTATTTGACTTATTATTAAATCCATTGGTGGATCATTTCTACTATAGATACTTCATCAATTTGGTGGCACTCATACGTAGCCCTTCATTAAAAAATCTAATATCAGCCAATGGAAAACCAAGATGTAATGTGTTTTACTATAACCGTGATGCAGTTACATTGCATTTCCATAACAAAAGGTGCACACAGTAGAATGCAACATAGAGATGATTGTCTCAAATCTCATCAATACTGAAGGAAGCACGCCTACATAATGATCAAAAATAGGTTTGTGTAGCCCCCATGTTAGCACTAAATTGTTCTGACCAGGTGCTCCTTTATCTGAAGGTTGTCAGTTCGACCCA